TCTATCATCTACACACATGCATATACATGTATGCATATGTTCACATTTCTGCTTATGCTTTTTTTATAGCAGGAAAATGCAATATTGACTAAGCTAAAACAAAGTACTGAAGGCTCTAAATGAATGCAAGGTGTTTTGTGATGACTGTGGGCGTGTGTTTGTGTGTGTGTGTGTGTGTGTGTGTGTGTGTGTGTGTGTGTAGGGGGGAGCCTCACCACAGCAGTCATGTCTCCAAGGCAAGGAAGGACCAGGACCATTCTTTGGAAATAATGAAGTTCTATACCTCTAGCCACAGGGCCACTGGACCCAATCCAAGTCTCCAGATGGCAGAAAGGATAACCTTTTTGGGGAGACACCTACCCCAAATCAGACAGCTCCACCTGTGCCTTAACATGACAGCTGTGGACTTGGATGGTGGGATGCTGCTGGGGTGTCCTGCAAGTGGGTCTCAATCTTAGAGGCACATTAGAATCTCCCGAGGAGCTTCCAAACCACTCCCACAGAGTCCTACCGGAGAGATTCTCATCTGATGGCCCGAGTGGATCCGGCCATGGGACTGGGTTCATCCCACATACAATAAGGGTGTTGGTATCTGGAAGTAGAAATTATGAAGACAACCTGTCTTCTTGTTTCCCCTTTTCCAAAGGTGGAGATCTGTGGAGAGAAGCAGGACAGGAACGCACACTGTACTTAGACACCCTGCCTGGAGCCCACAGGCTCCGTGTCTGTGTGGACCGTGTCATTGCACATCTGGTCCAGAGCCCTGTTCAGACTGTCATAATCCTGTATGATAAAGCTCTAAGGAGTGATGACAGAGAGGAGCCTAAATGTTCTGGGGTTCCTTGCCATAGGGTAGGGAGTAGGATCATTTGTGGACACAAAATCCCAGGGACAAGAGGACTCTGTTTCAGCAAATTGATTTATAAGAAAAATATCGGAAGCAAAAGTCACACATGGGAATATTGTTATTGGAAAGAGCATTTGTGGAAAGAATTTTTATAAATGTAAAGAGCTTTGAGTTCAAGCCATATTTAAAAACATAGCCGCATGGGTGGCAGGAAGGAGGGCAACAGCTGTGTTCAGCTATTTCCCTGAAGTGATGAATACCAAGTCCCATTTAACTATCTTTCAATGGGCCAAAGTGGTTCTGTGTGGCTCCTGTTTTCTTTTGGAAGTGCTCGGATAACCCCACTGAGGTCTTAGTGAGCCAGCAAGCATGATCAAACGTGGTAGTGATGGTCTGTCTTCAGAGACACTGTTGCCTGGGGTGATTCCAGGTCTAACCTTCTTGGAAATGGAGACAAACTATGAACGAGAAGTTTGCTGGGATTCTAGTACCTGAATGCAGATCTAAGTCTATGATATTAAGCTGTGTCTTAGTTAGGGTTTTATTGCTGTGAACAGACACCATGACCAAGGCAAGTCTTATAAAGACAACATTTAATCAGGGCTGGCTTATAGGTTCAGAGGTTCAGTCCATTAACATCAAGGAGCGACCATGGCAGCATCCAAGCAGGCATGGTGCAGGCAGAGCTGAGAGTTCTATATCTTCATCTGAAGGCTGCTAGCAGAAAACTGGCTTCCAGGCAGCTAAGATGAGGGTCTTAAAGCCCACACCCACAGTGAGACACCTACTCCAACAGGGCCATATCTTCTAATAGTGCCATTCCCTGGGCCAAGCATACACAAACCACCACAGGCTGAGGGCATAGCTCAGGAATAGAGCATCTGTTTAGCAAGCCTAAGGCTTTGCTTGGGTTTGAGCCTTAGCACTGTGCTCATGTACACACACACATGTATCCATAAATCCAGGGCCCTTGACTCAGGGGTCTCATGGAAGACATTTTCCTCCCTTTCTTTAGTCCACAGTATGATAAAATGGATGAGTCCTGGGTGTTTGGGGAGATGTTTATTGAGGACATAGAAGGATTTACAAGTTGAAAGAAGGGAAGGATGGGTGGATGTGATCTAAACACATTGTATTATTCGTGAATGAAATGAGCAAAGAATAGATAAAAAGTCAGATAGAAATTTATTTTCCACAGTTCTAAAGACAGAAGGAGCCAGGGAGATGGATCAGCAGACAAAAGCACTTTGCTCTCAAGTCTGATAGACTTCAGTCCTCAGGACCCACCAAATCTGTAATCCCAGCACTCCTGTAGAGGTGGAGGCAAGAGAAACAAGTGGAAGCTCAACCATGCAGTGGTAGAAACAAGTGACACCCTGCCTCAAAACAAGGAAGGACCAGGGAATCAACTTCTGCAAAGTTGCCCTCTGACCTCTATACATACAAGGTACACGTGTGCCCCGCCCTCACAATAAACAAATAAAGTGGATGAATAAATAAATAGGTGGCGTTTAAAAGGATCAAGTCAGAAGTGAGGTTGTAACTACACCCTTCCCAGAAGATGAGCATCGTGACATCCAACGGCAGAGAAAGAAACATCCCCCAGTGCTGTTCTGTAACAGCATTAATCTGGGCATGAAGGCAGAGCCCTGAGACCTCAACATTCACAAACACCTGCCTGCACGGTGCAAGGGGATTATTTCCAATACCAAATGAGGTGGGGATTGACCAAACATTCAAAGAATAGCACTCTGCCTTTGTACTCCCTCAAATTTGTCTCTTTTTAGTACATAAAAAGCATGGATTCCCTTCCTAACAGTCCCCAGCAGTCTTAGGTTGTCCCATCATCAATTCAAAAGTCTCAAACCCAGGGTTCTCATCTGAATCAGACAGTCAAGGTACAATTTCATCCTGGGCAGATTCCCTTCCTACAGTGAGCATAAGATACAGAGCACTTTCCACAGGGAAGAAACAGGAAAGAGAAGGAACAGATCTCAGGAGGGAGAAGGGGAAGCCAGGGGCCTTGAGAGTGACAGAGAGCCTCAGGCAATAGTTTTGGTGGGTGAGGAGTCCCGGGAAACCAGGAACCGCTAGCCTTTCCTCAGTGGCTTTCTGGATCCTTTGTCTTATAACTCAAAGAAAACCTGAGAGAGAGAGAGAGAGAGAGAGAGAAAGAGAGAGAGAGAGAGAGAGAGAGAGAGAGAGAGAGAGAGAGAGAGAGGGAATCTGAAAGAGTAATTTCTTAAAGGTTCACAGGTGAGAGTTTAAGACATAGGAAGCCATCATGCCTTGCCCTCTGCCTGCTCTACCACCCCCCATAAGACTCTGGACACTGCTGGAAGCACTGCTCACTTTCCTTCAAATGTCTTTCTCTCTATGCATGAGTGTTTGTGTGTGTGCGCGCACGTGTCCATGCGCAAACCATGGCACATGCAGAGATCATAGGACAACCTCAGGCATCTACCTTTGCCTTCCACTTTCGGGGGGGGGGGGCGGTAGGCCTGGACTCTCTTCTGACTTGTCTTTGTGCCAAGGCTACACTGCTGCTTTGCTGCTGCTCTGATCTCTAGCACCCACCTTTAGAAAGAAGGAGGGAACTTGGGAAGGATGATGTAAAAGCTCCATGAAAGTGTCATAATACACCACCCAAGGGTTCACTGTAAGCCCCTGCACTTCTCTGCTGGGACAAAGCCAATGCTTTTTTTTTTTTTTTTTGGTGATGGTGGTGGTAGTTGTTCTGGTGATCTGGTGATAGGGTCTCATGCAGCTTAGGCTGACCTCAAACTCTCTAAGTAGCTGAAGATCACCCTGAACTCCTAATCCTCCTGTCTCCAACTCCCAAGTGCTGAGAATACAAGTCTGTGCTACCTCACCCAGTTAATGCAATGTTGGGTATCAAACCAGAGCGTTGTGCATTTTTAGGACACTACCAATTGAGCTATACCACCAACCCTTTGCTGTTAATAGTATGTATTTTTGATAAGCACTGGTGGGGTCAAGAGACAGACTCTGGAATTCACCAGTGCACTTGCAGGGTCAGAGAACACAGTATGGCTGGAGCCCCTTCAGCTGTGCCGCAGTGGGGGTCTGGTGTGTGTCCAGTACATCCCAGGTTTTCTTTCATATTTTCAGTCTTCTGTCTTCACAGTAAGTACATGTTGATTTTAAAGTGATGGTCACACACAGGCTCATCACAGGCCTCTTCTGTTGTTTTTTTTTTTTCTCCGTGTAGCATAAGATGACCATCTATCCAGGTTAACTGAGTCCTACATTAATTTAATTTAATTAGTTAACTTAGTGACTGTTTAGCAGGGTATATCCCAGGACACTTGTATTAACTACACTCTTATCTGTGGTGGCTCACAGTTAATATGGCAGGGAAGGAGTGCCTGAAGGAGTATGAGGCAGCAGGTCATATTGCAGCAGTCAGGGAAGCAGAGAAAAGACAGACAGAAGGACCCAGTTATTAACTACTCGAGTCCCAGTGACCCACTGTCTCAGTGAGACTCCACCTCCTGAAGGTTCTACAGCCTTCTAGAACAGTGCCATGAGCTGGCGGGCACTCCATATTTTAATCGCAACTATGCAATATCCCTAACTTCCTAATGCCGTGTTATATTATGCTAACCAGCATACGCTGTATAGTATGTTGCTCTCTCTCCTTAAGCACAGGAGGTGGAGTCTAGTGGAAGGGAGTTAGGTCACTGGAGGGCCTTTGAAGGGGGTATTGGGGCCCCTTTGCTTCCTGGACACTGCGATATGAATGGTCTTCTCCATCCCACGCTCTGCTCAAAATGAACTCCCTCGTCACTGCTGCAAAACAATGACGGTCAAGTCGCAGTGGACTGAAACGGAGACAAATCCTTCCCTCCTCTTTGCCTTAGGTATTTTCTCACAGCAATGGAACGCTGAAGCTAACAGGGAGCACAATGGTTAGCTACGGAGACTGTGGTGGTTTATATTGATTGTCAGTTTGACAGGCTCTGGAGTCACCGTGGAAACAATGAATGGCATGCTTGTGGGGTAGATTGTAAGCAGGATTGAGAAAGGAAACCCACTCTAAGGTAGGCTGTATCGTCCCACAGGCTTGGGTCCTGGAGTATACGAAGAGGCGAAGGCAGCCTGGCACCTGTATTCATCTCTCTATTTTCAGGTCTGGGGAAAAAATGTGAGCAGCTGTGCCGAGCTTTTGCCAACACACCTACTGCACCACGATGGATTATAGGCGCAAACCGCGAGCCAGAACAGACCAGAACAAACCTGTCCTCCTGTAAGGTGCCATTACAGGGTGTTCGTCACAGCGGTAAGAAACCTTAGTGATGCAGGGCTTTGAAGCCAAGCCGTCTGGGTTCAGACATAGACCATTACTCTGGTAGATTCAGAGGAGCACTGCAGAGACCTTTGCCCCTGGTGCTATCTGTTTCTTGTCCTGAGAATGCATGGAGCTTTGTTGCTTCTTATAAATCAACATAGCAACTATGATGAGCTGCCATGTGCACAGTGGTGGGGCCCAAGACTGGCTTTCCTTAGAGCAGGTACCCTCTTTAACTGGTTTCTGAGGACACAGGTGGTATTTGTGAGTGATCGTATAGAGACCCACAAGGCAAGGGGCCAAGGTGGTCTCTGGCCAACAGTCACTGGGTGCAGAGGCTGTCACTCTAACCCTACTGCAGGAATAGCCATCTGCCAACAGCCACAGATCCTTTCCTGATGGTGTCCCAGACGAAATTTTGGCGCTGGCTAGCCACTGGACTGCAGCTCATGAGAGACCCTCAGCTAGATCATTTAGATCTGGACCCTCGGTCCCTGGGGGATAAGGGCAGAGGGTTGCTTAAGCTGCTGTGTAGCAATCTTGTAGGTAATAATAGATAACATGTATCTAGTCTCAGTACGATCTTGAGAAAGCCATTAAATCAATTCATATCCTAGTTTCCTCATCCAGAACATGAAAATTAAGCTAACTTTGCAGGTCTGGGTGAGCATAAAGCAAGTTAACTAGAATATGCTTGAAGTCATCACTGCTAGAGGTAACTAGTCATACATAAATGTTGGCTAGTGTTTTTAGAGCACCAGCAGATTCTGTGACCCTTCAGGAACAGCCTTCTCAGGTGAGCAATTATAATTGCTCCTTCTGCCTGTCCTCTCTGCTGGCAATTCTAAACTCTCTCTCTCTCTCTCTCTCTCTCTCTCTCTCTCTCTCTCTCTCTCTCTCTCATTTGAATGATGTTTGGTGAGCCTTGCTTGCAGTTAGAGATTTTTCTCAAAGCACAAAAGCACAAAGCACTTTGCTTGGGAGCATGGCCCAGAACCTTCTCTGACAGTTGACTACAATCTGTCACACTCCGTGGCTCTTCCACATGGAGATCTTTCAGCACCATAGAAAGGGCAGGTAGCAATTTAGCATGGCTGTGGATATCTGCTCCATTCATATTTCTTATAATGCATTCCTGTAGGGGCCAGCAGAGCATCAGAGAACTGTGCCATGAAGCAGCCGAGAGAATTCTTTCCAGCTCTGAAGACCAGAGAGAGGCTTCCTGCCTTTCAAGGGTCCTTTTGCTGTTTTGCAAAAAGCTCCTGATCTCTCCTTGCATCTGATCAACTTCCACACTTCCTGTCAGTCTCCTTTATGCATCCTTTCTCTTGTACAATGTACAAGCACCTTGCCTTCAGATCTATCTTCTACCAGGGTCCAGTGGGCACTCTATGCCGGTTACTTTTTCTTCACAGTACTTGATGTGTGTGACCCTCTTTCCCATCCAACAGGTGCTTTTGGTTTTGTGGCAAGAAAATAAGGCAGGAAGGGAAAGGTATGAAGATTAACATGTGGGAGAAAGCAATGGTAGAAAAAGGACAGCCAAGGGCCAACCAGGAACCATGCATAAGGACAGAGCAGGAGAAAAGCTTGAGACCGTGAATGAGCACAAGTGACCCATAAAGGGCTGAGACTCTAGTGAACCAGAGCCACCGAGCTTCTAAACCTCTGGGCTCTGGCCTACACTCTAGAGAGTATCTTTCCCTTCCTTAATAAATAAGCTATTTCTGTCTCTATGCATCCTTCATCCAGTAAGAACCTGGAAGTTGCAGCATGTGCCTTCCAGGCTCTGATCTATGCTTCTGACATTTCACATTCACCTTTGTCTCCTCTTCTCACCTTCCCTTGATCTGGTGGATGTTTCCCATTGTCCCCCAAAGTCAGCTGCCTAATGAACATGCATGGCCTCCGTACGAAAAGATACTAAGGAAAGCTTTGCTGGCTGGCTGATTCTGCTAGAGATGGGTGACACTACAGCTGAGCAACTAGCTCAGTGAGAGAGTGCTTACCTACCAAGTGTACACACCCAACACACACACACACACACACACACACACACACTCACGAAAGTGACCCTCATCAATGCTGAGAACAAAAACAAAACAGTAAGCTGGGATCAAGTTCTGATCCCAGGGATACAATCACAGTTTCAGGATTCCAAATAGATACTGCAGACTATAGAACCATCCTGTTGGTGGTGTCCAATTGGCCATTCGAGAGTGTGTTCCTTCTCCAGTGGCTGACCAGACTGACCGAGGCAAGCACTCACTCACTCTCAAGATAGCTTTGGACACAGCAAAAGACTGATTCTAACTTTAGCTTCTTTCAGAGCACGGGGTTGAGGATGGAAGAGTTTGGGAAGTAGAACACCACACTTTTGCTGTGGTTGTACAGCCTTTGTGGGAGGTGCTTCTGCCAGGGGGGTCCTACCTGCTTATTGCTGCCACTCTGGAGAAGGCTTCACAGTGTGCAAGTTCTATTTTAGCACAGGAAAGAGAATTATTTTCACTGCTGACTTTGTAACTGGCTTTGTGACTGTGGGCAAAAGTCTTCACAGATATAAATCACCCTCCAGAAAATGAGACCTACCGTAGAAGGAAGGAAGGAAGGAGGACAGAAGGAAGGGAGGGAGGAAAGGAGGGAAGAGGAGTGAGGGAGGAATGGAGGGAAGGAGAGAAGGAAGGAAGAGGGTTGCTCACAGACCCAGTATTGTTAGCACCAGGAGCACTCGAGCTTGCTCTTGGTCACCTCCCTCCCCCCACACTTACCACTCCCCTCCCATTCTCCCTCTCCCCTTCTGCCCTTGAGAGACACTATAGTTGTGTGGGTGGGTGGTCGGACAAGTGGGTGGATAGACAGACGGAAGAGGGAGTTTCCTTCTTGGGATTCTTGTAATTGGTATGTGGTTTACATTCCATTCATCTGGAGGACTGTGATATTAATCGGAAACAGCTTGAGCTCAGCTTGCCTGTAGTGTCATAAGGATGCTGAACTCAGGCAGAGGTCTCTGTTTCCCTCCCTACAGGTCAACCCCCTCTTCAAGTGTCTGTCAGCTTCGGTGACTAGCCTACGTGGCTGTCATCTGGACCAAAAGCACCATTACACACAGTTCAAAACAAAAACAAAAGCAAACCCGAGCAGTGCAAAGAAATGTCCAGTGGGGCTAGAAGATGTCTCAGAAGTCTGGACTGCTGGCTGCTCTTCCAGAGGACCTGGGTTTGATTCACAGCACTTGGGTGGTGGTTCACAGCTGTTAACTCCAGTTCCAAGAGATCCCTTTTCTGGCTTCCACTGGCATCAGGCATGTGTGTGGTACACAGACATACGTGCAGACAAAGCACCCATACACATACAATTAAATTATGTTTAAAAATAAGTGTACAATGAAGTTACTGGTGGTCCTCCCCCGAAGAAATATTAATAGTTGTATACTTGCAAAAAAAAAAGTCTGCTCTTCAATCAGTAAAGATTATGTATATTTTATTTACATAAAAATTTTCTATCTCCATAGCTTGAGCCCTTCACGATTTTACTTACTACATATTAAAGATCAAGATCATTTTACCGCACTGCATTCTACGCTGAATTCACATACACTGATAGCTGTAGTTCAAGCTCTGTAACAAACACGACAGATTGGGTAGATTTATAAAGCAATTCAGCTTTCATAGTTCTGTAGGATGGGGTGTGTAAGACAAGCTCCTGTCAGACTCAGGGTCTAACAAGGACACACTTCTTGGTTCCTCTGTCTTGCTAGTCCTCCAGGTGTCTCATAATCATCTTCCCCAAATCTGTTCTCCCAAAACCATCACAATGAAGAATAGTAATTGAACATGGATTAAGAACCATTCAGTCAATGCCATAGTGTTTGGGGAAACTGTTGTCTTAACATGGTATAACTGCTGCCATCTTGAAATCAGAGTGACTGCCCTCAGGTAACTCTCACAAGACTCCCTCCTGGAATGTATGGCTGACCCACAGGCTGCTTGTGTCCTTCACTTTCTAGGATATTTAAGTAGCTAACAATTGCTGAAGGAGGAAGGGACTCTTTGGTGGTATAGCTGCCTTCGCTGCCTTTAAGTTACCCATGATCCTGTGGGAAGCCCCTCACACATACTTTTATATGCTATCTCAATTAAACTCATTGGTTCACTGAGCTGAACTTGGATGGAGTTACTTGATTGATGTATTTTTGCCCTCTCTGTCTGGAGTAAACAGATATAGACTCCCCAGGAAGTCATGCAGCACTTGCTACCTGGACATGAACACACCAGAATGAGAGATGACTGGGGAGAACAAATGCATGGCTCTTGCTATGTGTGGTAAGACACGCATCTGAGGCCAAGCATCTGAGGGTGGCCTATCTATGGGCCCCCTGCTTCCTGTGGTTATGGTGGTGTGACTTCTTACTGTGGCCACAGCTGTGAGGTCCCTACTACTATCAGGTAGTAAGGCTGAACTGTCTGAATGCAGAATACCCTAGGGGGAAATCCCAGATGGCTGTCTTCTTCTATAAGGTATGAAGTGACACTCCTCCTTGATACATGGGGGCCTCTGTGTGAAGACAGTGAATGGTACTATGTGTGAATCAAAAAACGGGTCAAGAGTTAAGGATGGCACTGTAATCTCAAGAAGTAGAACAGATTGTGTGGGATCGTAAGTAGGCTAGAGTAGCCCTTTGTGGTCTCTGCTATGGCAGTATGACATGCAACTGAGCTGCCTCACCAAAAGGAACCCATGTAAAGGGAGAAATTTCATGGATGACATCCTCTGTATTAGCCTCGGGTTTGGAACGAGAGAGGTAGAGCGTATTGGATAGCAAGGAGAGAGAGAATGATGTGCAAATAAAGAAGAATACCACTAAAGTCACATCCTCAACATAGGGAAGGGGAGAATCCATGATTCGGCATGCAGACAGGACCTCAGTCATAGTCCAGGAAACCGATAATTAGGGAATACTTTACCACTGAACTGCTTGAATTGGAAACAGCTTTTAAACAAGAATTGAAAGAGGCTCTTAGAACCTGGCTGGAGAGGTGCAGATAGAATCAGCCAAGTGTCAGGAAAGCAGAGAAATGCAGTAACCTAATTCCTTCCTCGTCTTTCCATGAGACAAGGGTGTCAGGACCTGAAGCACTGTGGGAAATCAGCCCCCAGTGGGCTGGCCCAGACAGGCCATTTGGGATCCTTGGTTATTTCCAGCTGAGGTCCCCCAAAATATCAGACTGGAAGACATGATTAAGGGAGCTGGGCATAAAACAGACAGCATCTGATTCTCAGTTTGGGACCAGATAGCACCATGATCACATGACAGTTAAAAAAGAAGTTAATTTAGCAGAGACCTAAGACAGCAAAGTCATATAGGGCAGTATGGGAGTTTAGTGGCCTTGTGGATTCTCATGGCAGGCCATGGTCTTTTTGAGGTAGAAGAGGGTATGGAAGGTCTGAGAAACAGACCAGCAGGTTAGGTGAGGCCTAGTGGTACACACCTTTAATCAATTCTCAAGAGATAGAAGCAGGTAGATCTCTGTGACTTTGAGGATTGCCTGGTCTGCACAAGTTCCAGGATGTGGGGCAAGTGAACTGTGCCACCAGACAGAAGAACTGGTAAGGCTGAGCTGTCTCAGACCCCTGGGAATCTCAAATTGAGTGGAGCCATTCCCTACCTGTCTCTATCTGCTCTGGAACATGTAACCATAATGCTTCACTGAAGACCATGGGCACTGGGTCACATAGCATAAAAACCTGGAGTTTTCTATGCTAATGATGTATCTAGATAGGGCAATGAGCTTCCCTTCCTGGGCATTCCTTCCCGCAAAGGTATTTAATCCCTGGTTCATCTTGATTAAGGTGTGTGCACAGTTTGGATCTTCATCAAGGATCCTCACGGCTGGTGAGGGGGCGGAGGGACGGGGGTAGGGGGTAGGTGTCACCCGGAAACAAACCATTCTGCCCCCATCCCAGGCTCAGTTTTCCCCTTCCTGCCTAGTGCGTAGACGCACCCTTCCCTGAGGGGAAGCCCTGGCCAAGGACCCCATTCCCAACTCCCAGCGGTACCCAAGTGGTGCCTGGGTACACAGGAGACTGGGAACCACAGCAGTTATCCCAGCCCCCGCTGTTTCTCACGCGAGAAAACACAGACTAAGGACCCCCATTGCGGACTGTGTTCTGCCTCCCCTCCTCCAGAAGCTTGCCGGCAGCTCTCTGGTGGTGCTCCAGGCACCCCAGTGGTGAAGCACACAGCCGGGCACTAGGTCAGCCAGGGTTCTGTAGAGAGCCTATCTACAAAGCCAAAAAAGTAAGAAAAAAGTACGTCAAATCAGTGGGTAAATTGAGTTTGTAAATTGCTAAAGCAATCAAGAGGGAAAGGAAAAGCTAAACAGCAGAATCCTGAAGATGTAATTCATGTGGGTACGTACCATCTTTTTCTAGCATGAATGAGGCCCTGTTTAATAATTATTGTTCAATAATTTTGGGGTAGAGGCAGGAAGATAGAATTTCAAGGTCATCCTTGACTACATAGAAAGTTCCAGGCTAGGGTGGCTTGCATGAGACAGTCTCAAAAAGAAAAGGAAGGAAGAAGAAAGGGAAGGAGGGAGGGAGGGGAGGAGGGAAGGAAGGAGGGAGAGAGGGAGGGAAGGAGGGGAGCAGACAAAGGGTGCACCCAGGTCACTGGAAAGAAAATGAAAAGATTGGTGACAAGCCAGAGTTCCTAGGGGAGAAAATGACAAGAAGCCAAATTGTCTTGTGATTTGTTAGTGCTTGTGAGCCCCAAGGAGGCTATAAAACCGAATCAATAATTCTACAAATAAATAAAGGAAGAAGCTGAAGAGAAGAAAATGCTGAAGCTTGTCCCAAGAGTTGGCTATTAGCCCTCAGGAGTGTGCTGTGTACATTTCTCTCCCATAACAAAATAATATAGTGTGTTCTCTCTCTCTCTCTCTCTCTCTCTCTCTCTCTCTCTCTCTCTCTCTCTCTCTCTCTCTGTCTTTCTGAGGGATCTGACCAACCTAGAATCTTTTTAGCTTTAACAGCCAAGTGTGGCCAGAGGATATAGGCAGTGTCCTCAGACTTTGCCTTCATGATATCAGAACTGGAGTGCTGGATGATGAGATGGTGCCAACATGGCAAACAAGACCAAGGTATTCCCTCTTGTCTCAGGTTAGATGAAGCAACAGAAGCCAGACCTACTGTGTTTCCAGGGCTGAGGAGACTCACAGTAGGCTTTGGCAGTGCACTAGAATGACTGTGTAATTATAGAATGCCAATAATCACCCACACAAATATACCCATCTTTGAGGAAATGGTCCACATTTGTAATAGAATCTTCTCATGCTGTATTGAACCTTGATATTTGTGCACTAGAGCTTATACCCTTAGCTGCAGACTATCAAGACCATATGACACAGCAGTGGCCTTTAGACATCCTGCCCATCCTTTGTACAAAGATCATGTCATGTAGGTGGCATGCTACCTCTGAGATTCTTTTACAGATTCTGAAAGGCATCTGAAAGATATATAAATGTATCTAAAGAAGCAAGGAGGGGAATTTGGTCCACTCAGGCTGCATAGGCCAGGCACAGCTGGGAAACTCTTGGGTGATTTTTGTTGTATCAAGGGTAGATGGTACCCAACAAGATGACTGAGAAAAATCCTACAACATTCAGTGCCTCTAAAAGTAAGCATATTTGTTACAGAGTTTAAGTTCAGAAGGCATCCTATATGGGTGAGAAAGGCACATCTAGAAACCATAATGTTATTGAATATATCCCAGTGCCAGGAGTAGGTTACCTTCCTATGAGTTGCTGGCTGGGAGCAGAAGGGTGGATGCGACTACATATCTGATGCAGGCTATAGATATTGCTGCTGATTGAATGCCAGAATGATTAGCAAGAGACTACATCGTTTTCATAGCATGAAGAAGTTGGGCTGTGTCTGAGCTGAAAAGTCCCTTCCTCCTGGCAAGCTTTGATAGTGTTTGAAGGGGATATAAAGACAGCTGGTAAAGGATTGTTGCCAATGGTCCTGCTTATCTATGACCCTGAATGTTAATATGATTTGCATGCTAGATAATATATATCTGTGGGTACAACAGTGGTATAACTGATATGGGATGCAACAAACTACTTTTCCATCGGA